GGAAGATCTCTGCTGGCCATTCTTGGGGGGCCATTTTCTCCTTAGGTACCCCAGCAATACAAGCATTGACAGAATGATAATTATCCAAAGGAAAAAGAGGTGCTGTTATCAGACAAGGAGAAATGATGTTGGGCAGATAAGATGACATGTGTCTCCCATAGTGAGTGACAATAACTAGGGGTTGGGAAGCTCGTTTAATATTTAAAGTTATGCCAACCTAATTCAATAACTTGAGACTTAACACAGCTGTGTAGTGTTTGTGTATCAGCAGTCCCTCATTACAGGAAACTTGGGTTGTATATATGAATTGGCTTGGGATGATGGAGTCTAATGAAGAGAGAGTCGTGCCAGGGACAGCACTAGACAAGGTGTTTCAGAATAAAACCATGAATTCAGAGGTTGAGATTTTATGGAAAAATTCAATCATTTCTGCTTCCTGTGCATTAGCATCTATTGTTTTTCTTCTAGAACACAAAGTGACTTGCAGAGCCCATATCCATTTGAATAATGTGGGAACAACCCTTGTAGCAAGGGCTTAGCTGCCAGGTGCTTTCTGATGTGGGTTGGTAACATTTCTACCACTGTAGAATTTCTGGAAGAGGCCATAGCTTATCTGGGGTCTCCTAGTATTTTCAGAATTAAGAGTTAATTCCTGATTAATTCCATATATGGAAAGAGATGATACTATTATTCAATTTTAATATTCTCAGGTTATAAAGACTTATCATTGACTAAATTAAGAATCATTGTGAAAAAATGACAATTCATTTGAGATCATCAGTAATGTAGAAGTTGGCAGGCGAACGTTTTGTGGTGGGCCATCTTTCTTGCCAATTTGCACACAAAAAAGTGTCACAGTGGAGTTTGGTTGGGGATAGGAAAATGCTAAATAATACCATGATAAATAATTGACATATGATCTAAATTTTGTAAAGGTTTTCAAATTTGGTTTGGAATTTGATTTCAAATCATTATGACTTGCAGACAGTATAAATGTTAGAAGCCAGTTTTAAAAATTACATTGTACTGAAATTGCTTGTTTTAAGAAGTAAAAATGTGATTTTTAATTAGAAAGACATGATCTCAATTAATTTTTATGCCCCTGTTCTAAGGCCAGTCTCTTACATAAGATTCTTTTTTTGTTGGTTTGTTTGACACAGAGTTTTACTCTTGTTGACCAGGCTGGAGTGCAATTGTGAAATCTGGGCTCACTGCAACCTCTGCCTCCCAAGTTCAAGTGATTCTCCTGTCTCAGTTTCCCAAGTAGCTGGGATTACAGGTGCTCGCCACCATGCCCAGTTAATTTTGTGTTTTTAGTAGAGACAGGGCTTCACCATGTGAGCCAGGCTGTTCTCGAACTCCTGACCTTAGATGATCCACCTGCCTTGGCCTCCCAAAGTGCTGGGATTACAGGCATGAGCCACCACGCCCAGCCTTAGGTAAGCTTCTGATAGTTCACTGCTGGCCCTTTTTATGGGTACACTGTCTTTCACTTGGTGGCTAAGATGCTTTGCAGAGACATGGCACTTTTATTAGTCCTCTTCAGACTTGAATTAAGCAGAAGCTCATGGTGTATTTCTGATGCAAACTCAAGGAATCTAACTGCAGTGCTTCCCACTTGATATGTGTATCTTGAGAATCATATCAGATATTAATAATGTCCCTTGCTTAAAAGGTTTGTAAGCTGTGCCCTTCTTCCAACATCTGTGTTCCATACTCCACTTTTGTATTTTCACCAGTGGTCTACCCATAGCTTTTAGTTCATAAAATAAATATTTGGGAAACCTGTCATATTTATGTTCTCTTCCCTGCCTTACATTTTCCATGCATGGATATTCCCAAAATTTTGAAAGGAAGAAATACAAGAGAGAATTTTTTTTCAATAACCACACTCTTCAAAGCCAGAAATTATAGGAGAGATGTATGCATCTGTCCTTGCACTGCTATCAAGAAATACCTGAGACTGGGTAATTTATAAAGAAAAGAGGTTTAATTGGCTCATGGTTCTGTAGGCTGTACAGGAAGCATGGCTGGGGAGGCCTCAGGAAACTTATAATCATGGCAGAAGGCAAAGGGGAAGCCGGCACGTTCTACATAGCTGGAGTAGGAGGAAGAGAGAGAAGGGGGAGCTGCTATACACTTTTAAACAACCAGATCTCCTGAGTACTCACTGCTGTCATGAGAACAGCAAGGGGAACATTTGCCCCCATTATCCAGTCACCTCCCACCAGTCCCCTCCTCTGACATTGGGGATTACACTTAGATGTGAGATTTGGGTGGGGACCCAAATCAAAATTGTATCAAGAAATGTGCTCTGGCTCCTCTGAACTATTCCTCTGATTTCTGGAAATTACTTTCTTGGAGATTCTACTTCATATTGACTTTTGGGAAGGAGGATAAAGAAACATTTACATGTCCCCAAAAATATCTTCTTGGTGGCTTTTCTATTGATTCAGTTTGGCTCAATTATGCGCTATTGAGTGAACTCTGTGCCCCCAAAGTGCCAGGTGCCAAGGGTACAAAGATACAGAAGATGCAGTTCCTGCTTTCTAGAACATCATAATATATAAAATCAGAATTAAAGGAAGAGGCCAGGAGAACCAGCATCTACTGGCTGTGTGTTTGCAGAGAAACATTCTCCCAAGTGCTCTCATAAGTGTTACCTCCTATCAATTTCAGAACCACCCTATGACCTTGGGCATTACTGTCCTCATCTTGGAGGCTAAGAGATATTAAACATGCATCCAAACCACACAACTAGGATGTTGTGAATTAGGATTCAAATCAAGATTTGATGTCATGCTTACTTTTCCTATATTATAGGACTCCTTCCTCCAGTGCTGTTCAATGCCCTATAATTCAATCTTAGGAATTGCATTTCTCTCTCTCACTGCTAACAGTGGTTGGAAGAACGTGCTTCCTTAGAGCCTAAAAACTGACCAGTTCTTGGAGGCTGTGAATCTCAACTCTCATATAAACCTTTTGGGAATTGAGTTCATCGAAAGCTCACTATTTCTGAATGAAAAAAAATTATAATGATAGCATGAACACATGTTGTGGCTTTTAGCAAAATATCTTTTTAAAGGAGATTATGGGGAGCTCAAAGAGTTTATTGGGCAAAAAATAGCTTTTTACAAGGTAACATTCAGATGCATTAAGGAATCAGAAATTAAGGACATAGTTGCTTGAAAATGTTTCTAATACGTTCCATAAATCTTAAATCACATCTGGATTTGCCTGGCATTATCAACAGACTCTTTATTCAAGCCCAGTTTATCCAATAGATTCAGTCAAATTAAAGAACTCAATCACATGCTGTAGAATTAACATTATAGCAACTATCCCTAAATTCAGTAGGCGAGCACTGATCTAGTACAGTATTTCAAAGTGTTCCTATAAGGCAGTATTTGACTTGAACACAGATTAATCAGTGATTTGTGTTAGTAAACACAAACCTAACATTCATTATTTAAACACACAGGAATAATTGTATGAATACAAGTACGTAGCATGATGGGCAATTGGTCTATTACATGAATAATATATTAGTTAGTGAGCATTTAGTTTTATTTGTCGTTCTGGCCTGGGGTGCTGGTCTGCCTCTCTGGGTCCAGCCTGCAGCTGGCACAGAGCCACAGCTGCCACAGAGTCAATGAAAAGGGTGTCAAGGCTGCAGGATGGAGCCTGTGTTTGTTTAAGAAGGAGCCTGATGACATCACGTCGGCCTCCTGCTCCAGAAGGCTCGGGAGCTATGAAACGGCACAGCTTCCTAGCCCAGTTATTGCAGACCTCCGGCAGGGATTTCTGTCTTCAGGTCGGGTTTCAAGGTGAACCAGGTTGGAACATTCAAGGAGAGACTTGGGACATTATAGATTTTTATGCTGCCCGAATTGGCTGATCAGCCCCATACGTGGTATTTGATTAATGTCTGAGAGCTCTAATTAGCAATGTCTAATCGGCTCCACATACACCGGGATATCGATTCCTGCATCCACAAAACTAATCTAATTTTGCTCCTTATCATTAGCAAGTGGTTGGTGTAAGGAAATGATGAACCCGCCTGGATATTGGAAAAGCCGTCCCATTAAGGCAGCTTTGGAATAGGGTAGAGGGGTTTCTGCAGGTAGGTCCAGAAACGTCCTTCAGTGGCATCAGGAAAAGCACATGTTTTATCTCTTTGAGGCTGTTTGGCTTTTCTGAGGGGGAGGAGTCACAGATATCTGGAAGAAGTTTTTGTTTTTAACTTTCCCAGAAGGGGAAAATAGGCATAGGAATCCAATACATCGTTTGGACCACAGAGAAGAAAAAGGAAAACGAAGTTTGCCGGCATCTCTTGTCTTCTGGAGCTGTTCTCTGATCGTCTGTGCCCACCTTCCTGCTGCACTCAAAGGTTGGATGGCATTTGCACTCCCGTGATGAAGACGCCTCCGCTACTCCCATTGGTGGCTCCTTGTTTTTCAGGGATTGTAATGCAAAACATACTCCTCCCCCTCAGAAGTAATAATATTAAAAATATTGGCATAACACTAAAAAAATACACAAAGATAATATACCTCGACTTATGTGGATTTTTATTTTCTGTGGTAACAACTGCAAATTCATGCTTTTGTTATAAATAAAGTTTCGGTGCTACAAAAGAAATAGCACTCGAATATAAAATTTTCTTTTTAAGTCTCAGCAAGGCAAGTTACTTCTATAGAAGGGTGAGCCCTTACTGATGGAGCCGTGGTTAGTGCACACTTGGACAAAGGAGAGGAAGGGTTTCTTATCCCTGACGTACATGGCCTCTGTTGCTGTGTCGTTCCCCTATTGGCTAGGGTTAGACCGCACAGGCTAAACTAATTCCGACTGGCTAATCTAAAGAGAGTGACGGGGTGAGTGGTTTGGCGGGAAAAATGGTTATGACAGAGCAGGTAATCAGAATGAGTCAGGGTGGAGTAGGTAATCGGAATGAGTCAGGGTGGAGTAGGTAATCGAAAAAGGTTGCTTTACGAGGAAGTTAAGTTTAAAAGTAGAAGGCAAAGAATTGAACACACTGACATACTAATTCTTTGAAAAGAAATTTAGAACTTATATCTAACACTTTCATGACACTCTGAAGTCAAAAGCACCGTCTAGTAAAGATGGTCTCCTTCATTTCTCTACCCATAGTACTAGTCTTAATTTTTCTGACAATATTAAAATCTAAAATTTGATCACCTGGAAATTTTCTTGGGAGAAACCCAAATGGGGTCATGCTTTCAGCCACCGTGGAATAATCCTCCATAACCCTGTCTGCTTAGTGCCACCTTCTAGTGAGTATTACTCTTGGATACCTTTGTGCCATCTTTCCTCTTAGCACCTATGTTTGTGAGAGCACTTCTCATACTGTATCACAATTATTTATCTGTCTGTCTCTTTTATTATACTGGAAAGTCCTGGAGGGTAGAGGCTCTTGAATTCATTGGTGAAAAACACTGATATGTCTTAGGTACTTGTCACCCAGTGATGAGGTCACATTTCCATTAATACTGCTGATTGTAATCGGTAGGCACCCCATGTCATTGGTAGCAGCCCCAACCAGCCCCTGATGTCGACTGGCCTCTCTACTGCTCTCAGAGCATCTCACGGTATCTCATGTTCATGGAGCTCAGTTGAGGTTAAGCCTGTGCTGCAGGCCCCCCTCCACCTCCCCACCTCTCCTTCCTCAGAATCCACATTGAGTTCCTGCTGCTGTCTCCCAACAGGTCCAGGACTACCCACTTCCCTTGGAATGGTGTTGCCATCATTGTTCTGGCATTGGGGGTAAAGTGGTGTGGCTTTCCTTCACCTAAAAGAAGATATTATGGCAGGAGTGAGGGGGAGAGTGGGATGAAATGGAATGAGTTGGGGAAGTGAAGTGGGCACTAGATTATGCAGAGGCTTGGTTTTTATTCCTAAGGCAGCAGGAGATATTAACTAAAAGAGGCCATGATTTGATAACACTTATTTAAAAGTTTACTCTGACTGCTGAAAACATAGTGGAGTAGTCCACCAATATACTAAGTAGAGACACCCGTAGGCTATTGCAACAGCCCAGGCAATATAATGGTAGCTTGTACAATGGTGTTAGAAGCAGAGATGAGAAGAAGTGGATGTGTATTAGAGATAGAACCAATGCAACTTCCTGATATGTTATGAGTGAGGATGCAAAGGAAAGAATTCCATTTGACTTCCAGTGTTTAGTTGAGCAAATGAGTGGGTAAAGGCACCATTTCCTTAGAAGGGGAATATTGGGGGAGGAATAGAGTTTGGGACAAATCAAGAGTTCCTCTTAAGTGTTTAATTTGAGAGACCTATTGGGTAGTCAAGTGGCCATGCCAAGAAGGCAGTTGGACATGTAGGTATTGAATTCAAGGAAAAAATGAGGGCCAGAGATATAAATTTGGGCGTCATCAAAATATAGATGGTAGTTAAAGCCCTGACAATGGGTAAGATAGCAGAGAGAGAGAGAGAGAGTGAGGCTATTATAGAAGAGAAGTCAACAACCAGGTCCTGAGAGAAGTGAACTTGGGTGGAGAATGGAGGTTGGAAAAGAAGTTTGAACAAGAGCATCAAGTGCTGTAGGAGAAAAACCAAAAAACAGCAGCAACGTAGAACCCAAGAGGGAAGAGAATTTCAAGATGGGGTGAGTAGTCAAGCGGAATGCAGGAAGCCTGAATAAGGAGAGTAATGCTCACTGGTTTCCTCTTCAGCCCAGCCTGAGGTTATTTCCCAAGTCCGCATTTCGTCATCCAAGACAGAAATAACCTCAACAGGATAAGCACATTAGAACACAGTATTCTAACATTAATGGATTTCCCAAGGGGTATTTTATTTGTTCTTAAATAACACAATGTGCAGGACACCCACATCCTAGTACAGCCTGAACCACAAAGAGCCCTGTTTACAGTTCTCCTTTTATCCTAAAGTTAGGATGACTCTTGAATGTCTGTCTCTCTTCAAGAGAAACAAAGGTTTACTGGTACAGGGTACCCTAGATCTACATAGAGAAAAGGCGTAGTCTTGCCACATATTCTCTAGAAAGATAAGCAGGATGACAAAAAGAAAAAAAGAAAAAAAAAATCACCACAGCTTTGGCTCAACCATAGGTAAAAAATTTACAATTAGAGGAGGCTTTTGTTCTCATTCTAAAACATAGCATTACTGTCACTTCACAGCTTTGGCTCTGAATAATGGCGGGTGTTTGTTTTGCATTTGGGTAATTAAAGAGCCCACCCACTTGTTTATCCCAAGCATGGGAATAATCTGACCCAAAGGTGACTGAATTCAGGTCTGTAATTCTTTTGCTGAGTTTCGAAATGACAGTTTTTGTACCTTTAAGCTAACTTATTTTCTAATGGCCTAGGATAAGGCCCTGAGTCCATTATGTGACCAGTTACTATTTGTTGCATGAATAGATGAACAAGGAAGCTAAGGGACAAAGTGGAAAAACCACTTCAATTAGAAAATCTGGATTCTTGGGAAGGTTATTTCTACTTTCTGAACCTTAACATTCTCAAATGTGCCACCTTAAAATCCAAAAGCTTTAAAGTGATATGTTGAAAAAGCACAGTTCAACAGGCAAAAATAATTAAAACAGATTCTATTAATTTCTCATATCTCACAAATGAAATTAAAGGAGATGCAAATAAATTGCCCATAGAACACATTAAATTTCTCTTCCCTCATACCCCACTGTTGATTTGATGTCTCTCTCTCTCTCTTTAACACCCTCCCAACTGTAGCTCATCAGCTACTTTATTATACTCCAACTTGCCTAGCTTAGCATTTCAACCTGCGCCCCTTTCCAGAAAGGATTCTACATCATTGGGAGAAAAGAAAAAGGAGAATTTGGGCTTGCACTGAGAAGATTACCTTTGGTGGTCTGGAAGTGGTGGTAAGTCTTGGACAATTCTCACGTGAATCGTTTTTGTCTGTTTAAAATGGGAAAAATAATGCCTACTCTATAGGACTGCTAGCAGGCTTAAATAAGTATGTGTGCTTGTAAACTCTCCACAGATGCATGATGTCATTATGATCTTTGCTGCACAAGCATTATTTAATGTCCTAAGTGTGATTTTTAAAATCTCATTCTCACAAAAGATAGGTTTCATCTTCATAATAAACATGCATCTGCTTCCCTTTTTGAACATAAGATCCCAAACAAAAAGGAAATCGATATCCTTATAAAAAGGAGCCAATGCAAGAAGCATCTAGAAGTAACTTTAGATGCAGTGTCAAGAAGTTTATTAGTGACAGTCATGTATGTAGCACAGTGTAGAGTAATGAAAATCTGTGCTTATACCACCCATTTAAAAATAATTTCAGTTAGCACATGAATTTGTTGCATATAAACAGCACCTTTGACAAGTTATTTATTTAAAAGGGTCAGATTCAGGTATTGTTTCTAAAGTAGAACTTCAATGATAAAATCTGAAAATGTTATTCTTTCAATTAAAAAAAGTGAGTAGTTGTGTATGTGTGTGTTTATCACAGGTTTCGTGAGTATTGCTGATTCTCATGATAGGTTAGAAAATCTGACCAACTATGTATTAATTATCTATTGTTGCACAACAGATTACTCTAATACTTAGTTAAAACAACAGACCTTTGTTAGTGTGTGGTTTTTGTGGGTCAGGTACATAAGAGAGGTTCAGCTGCGTGGTTCTTATTTGGTGTCTCTTATGAGTTTTCAGTCATGCTATCAACAGGGGTTTTGATCATCTGAAGGTTTAACTAGGGCTGAAGAACCTGCCCCCAAGACGAGTCACTCTTTTTTAGTAGTTAGCAGGAAACCCCAGCTCCATGCTGGCTATTGGCAGGAGGCCTCGGTGTTTCACAATGTGTACCTCTCCATAGGATTGCTTGAGTATCTTCGCAACATGGCAGCCGGCGTCTCCCATAGGGACTGATCTAAGAAAGAACAAGGAAGAAGCCTCAGTGCCTTTTATGTCTTAATCATGAAGTCAAACACCATCCCTTCTTCTATGTTCTGTTTGCTAGAAGCAAGTTACTAAGTACAGCCCACACTTAGAGGAAGAAGAATTAAACTCTACTTTTTGAAAGGAGGAGTATCAAATAATTTTTTAACATGTTGCAAAACCAACGTAAGTTCTTTGGTATAAATTGCATTTTTCTATTGTTCGTATTCCAAACAAAACATTTTTCACAATTGCAGTAGCTGCGTATGTCATTGGATTCTCAGAATACAGCACATAAATCTCCTTATTGGTTATGAAGGAAATGAATTCAGACGCATAAGTAGCTTTCTCCAGGTACAGAGAAGTTCAGTGTCCAACTCTAGACTTAGATCTAGAATTCTGATGTATAATTTCATATGCAGTCAGGTTACATCTAAATAATAATAGCAAAAACAGAACCCTTTCACTGTACTGTAATTTACTTTTCCAACTTTTGGCTACTTACAAGATCACAAACATCTGGATTTAAATTGGAAACATCTCTCAAAAATCCAGATGTTTCCAAATATAGGTTTTTTTTTCTTTTTAAGGCATCAAAAACCCCTTGGTGAATGAGTAACTACGCATGTTGAATGGTTATCCCATTAAAAATCTAACTCCCTTTCCCAGTTTATGTTATTCTAGGTGGAAAGTTTCTAATGTAAGCAAATGTTAAATTTGGAGTTTGGACTGACTGAGGCAACAAGATATAAGAGAAGTCAGATAGCAAAATGAGGTGAGAGACAGGACACCAATTTGGAAATTTTGAAAGAAACTCTCCTGAAACTTACTGCACGGCTTCTGTGCCTCTCCTCCAATGTACCTCACCTAGGCTGAGGTTAAGGGAGATGTTAGAGTGAGGCATTTGAATGTTAGAAAAGCAATCCCCCCCGCAAGTAAGGGAACGGCCTCCACACCAGACTGCTTAGAGTTGATAAAAGACCTCTGTAGGTCAAAGGCACAAGGAACTGGTACCTGGCTCATGACTTATAAGACTTTACCTTTGAGAATCAGAAAGCTCACGAAGAGCTCTTGAATTTTCACTAAGAGGCAGTGAAATCATTACTTCCACAGAACAGGTTTAAAGGGATAGTGGAAAATGAAAATAAAGATACTTTTATAACTACCCCTCATGCAGCCTCTATGTTTAACACATGGATCCACTAAAATATATCACAGACATTTTCTGCCTTTTAAACAAAGTATGATGAGTTATTAAGAAAAGTTTAAGTTATTTTCAATGTTATCATGACTAATGCAATAATTTAAAAAACCTTGGATTTGAATACTACATTTTCAAAGTAACTCAATACAATGATGTCCCCAAGGTTTATGGAGATCTATGGGGTTATTTACCCCAGACTCATAATTCTTACATGTGTGTTTCCAATTTTCCTGACACGTCATTTGGTTTCTGTATTTTCCATTGTCACTTTCACTAATTTCTTTATGCTTCTCTGTATTATCTCCTCTCTCTTCTTTTAATTCATGTTTGGGAGATAAACTTGTTGGAATTGTGAGTTAAATAAGATTAAATAGTACCATGATCTTTATTTATTTATTGCTTGCTAACCAACATTCTACATAGAGAAAGGTGCTGGATAACTGACTTATACATATATTTATATATTATATATATTTATATATTAGGTAAAAATTTATATATTTATATATTAGGTAAAAATTTATATATTATAAATTTATATATTAGGTAAAAATTTATATATTATGTAAAAATTTATATATTAGGTAAAAATTAAAAACCAGAGGTGTGTACATACGAGGTATTCATTGACATTAAGTATTTGATAAGTAATTTTGGCTTCATTTTTAATAGGATTTTTCTTTATGTACTTTTAAATTAGTTAATTAACTCAGCTAGTACATAGTCAGTACCTATTATGTGCCAGATGCTAAGCTGGTATCCATTAATGCTGCATTGGATTAAATTATTTATTCAACTGCTTCTATTTGCGTTCCTGAGCTCAATCCTAACTGTGCTCTGTAACTTGGACCAAGAAATGGATTTTCCATGTCTTTTGAGAATGGCAAATCTCTTATGCCACTTAAGAAGATGAAGAGACAATGCATTTAACACCAGATGGGGAATGAATTCTAACCCAACAAATGGGAGAGGATTTGCTGTGAGGCCTGACAGCAATAAAACTCACACTTTACTTTCATATGATGCTTAGTTTTCCAGATTTCTTTAAGAACTGTCCTTGTATTATACTTCCACAACAGCTTTCTGAAAGGTAAGACAACTCTGAATTCTGTTACAAGTGAGGCTAAATGTTCTAATTGCCCAGAGCCAGTAACCAAGTCAGGGCTAGAGTTGCATCTTTATTCTGTCAAATCCAGCCTTTTCTCTCTTAAATCAGGGCTCCAGCCTGCACTTTGGAGGGTTAATTTCTGCTGGGATAGTATTTACCGGGCTGATTTTGATGCTATGCGGATCACATATTTAGAGATATAATTGGACATCCTTATAGTCAAGTGGTTTCTCCAGAGTTTGAAATGCCCCGTCTGTGCCTGTGTTTGGGAACCTATGTATTTCTGACCTCTGCTCTACTTAATAAAAGAGTTGGGTTATCAGAAACAGAACTGAAGGCCAAGAGTGGTTTTCATGCATTGAGCCCTTGGCATTGGTTCTTGGCAGCAAACCTCTGCCCTTCATGCAGCAGGAAGTTGAGGGAAAGTCCTGCTGCCCAAGGCTAGATGCTTTGGGAGAAGACATTCCTCACCACCAGGTCAGTGTAGAGGCTTCTGCTGAGGCAACAAGGAAGGACTGAGGCTGGCGAAGGTCCAGGGTGTCCTACTTGCCATTGACTTTGAAGTCCTGCTTCCACTGCAGAGTGAAACTACAAGAGGAAAAAGAAATTGCCTACCCTACTGATACTCCCCACTTCCAGAAGCTCGGCTTCTACCTACGGAGCTGTTGGGCTCACTTTTCTGGTCAGCGCTGGGGAAGTCAGTGATGAGCAAGCCATTGAGGCTGAAACACACATTCAGGGTTTGCAGCCAACTCCAACGTTTCCCTCATTGCACATATTGTGTTGGGACAATGGTCTGATCAAATGTTTCCTAATTTCATTGTGGACTTCCTCTCTCTAATGAGTCCCTTTCTCCCAGCTCTAAATAAAGAAGATGCTAAAAACGTGACACACACTACAGATGGGTCACCCACATCTGGGCTTTTCATCTTAAAGATGGGGTGGGGGTGGGAAGGATGGTTAAGCAAGACGTGGCTGGCTTTTCTTATAAAAGGGGTGAGTGGGGAAAGGGGGGTAGAGAGATGAGGGAATGAGGCCGAATCATCCACCATTGTTACTGAATGACAGACGTATCCACTGGGACTAATTATAATAATGATCCCAGTCCATAACTGACTCAGAACTTGAGTATCCCTCTCTATGCCACATTCTCAAATGTGGGCACCTGGATAGCACCTATGAAGTTGACATTTACCAGAGAAATCCATGTACAGATGGATATTTGCATGTGAAAACCGGATAATTGTGTGTGTGTGAGAGCAAGAGAGTTTCTGTACACAATTATCAGCCTCTCCCCGAGATGTTGGGAGCAGTTTCTGGTCCTTTGGAAAACTGGCCTGCAATTTGCTGGTGCAGATTGGAGTTCGGGGAGTGTATGAGATACGTTCCCAGGTTTTAGGGAAGAAAGTGTGATGAGTTGAGATGGATGTATTGACCATCTGTGATGCACTCAGCACTGTAACATGGTGTGTAAGAGCACAGACTGTGCCATCAGATGGACCTGGATTCCAATTCCAGCTCCACTACAGCTCTCACTAACGCAAAGTGCAGGAGAGTGTAGTTTCTTTGAGAAGCTATGAATAACTGCATATGTTTGAGCATTGGGTCTGCATGGTATTGTGGCAGAATCACGTAGGTCTCTGTATTAGGCAAGGTTCTCTAGAGGGACGGAACTAATAGGTCAGATGTATATATGAGGGGGAGTTTATTAAGGAGTATTTACTCACACGATCACAAGGTGAAGTCCCACAATAGGCTGTCTGCAAGCTGAGGAGCCAGGAAGCCAGTCCGAGTCCCAAAACCTCAAAAATAGGGAAGCTGACAGTGCAGCCTTCAGTCTATGGCCAAAGGCCTGAGATCCCCTGGTCAGCCACTGGTTTAAGTCCAACAGTCCAAAAGCTGAAGAACTTGGAGTCCAATGTTCGAAGGCAGGAAGCATCCAGCAAAGGAGAAAGATGAAGGCCAGAAGACAGCAAGTCTGCTCTTCCATCTTCTGCTTGCTTTATTCTAGCCAAGCTGGCAGCTGATTAGATGATAACCACCCAGATTGAGGGTGGGTCTGCCTCTCCCATTCCACTGACTCAAACATTAATCTCCTTTGGTGACACCCTCACAGACACACCCAGGAGCAATGCTTTGCATCCTTCAATCCAATCGAGTTGATGCTCAGTATTAACCATTACAGTCTCCAAGGGAACGGAGTTGGTGCAGTGAGGTTAAATCTTTGGCAGAACAAGATTTGAACCAAGACTGTCCCTTTTAACTGTCCTGCACTTAACCATCTCCCATGGGTGCTCAGTGAGCACTTGATGAATAATGGGACTCGAAGCACAAAGATGTTCATCATTCTTCTGCGTGAGAATTTTCCTCTTCAGTTTGTGAGTCATGCTGGGTCCTGTAAAGAAGGAATCTTCAAGTCCAGTTTTAGGGACACACGTAATTTCCAGAGCCAGTGCTTTCCTGTAGTTAGCATTGAGGATCACAAAAGCCACAAGATGCCACAAGGAGTCTGTCAATTTTCTTTTTCTGTTTTCTTTCTTTTCTTTTTCTTTTTTCTTTCTTTCTTTCTTTCTTTTTTTTTTTTTTTTTTTTGAGATGGAGTCTCGCTCTGTTGCCCAGGCTGGAGTGCAGTGGCACGATCTTGGCTCACTGCAAGCTCCGCCTCCCCAGTTCATGCCAT